TTTAATTTGTTGTAAAGGCAAAAATTTTATTTCCCTTGCACTTTCTTTCACACAGCGATTGAGTTGCTTCAAAGTATTATAAGTTTCAAATTTCAGAGAAAATGCTAATTCTCCTTCAACTGAATTTTTAATTAATACAAAGCGATTATTTAAATAACTGACAAAATTCAGATGAAATGTATCACAGTTGATTTCACGAGGTTCAGATTTATTAGAAAAAAATTCTTCCATTTCTAAATAAAACGTGTTGAAAAATTTCCATTCTAGTATTGAGAATGAGACTGATGTTTGAGGATGGCTGCTTAATAACTTTATTTTTATAGATAAATTGCTCTTTAATTCGGCACCAATAATTACTTGTTTTGTATATGATGAATTTAAGTTATATGTGGTTGAAAGAAGTAATTGATTAAGAGGAAGATATGCCATTTTTTATTCTGCTTTAGATACAAATTCAAAGTAATTGTATTTTCCACCCAAAAATTTTAATTGTAATTCTCCTTTCTCCGCAGCTTGTTGTAAATGAGTAAATGATTCCGTATCACTTTCAAGAACCTTTACCATCCTTTGTGGTAGAAAGACAACATATTCACTATCAATTTCAGCCACAATTTTTAAACCAAATTTTGTTGATGTTTGTTTAATATCTGTAATATTATAATATTCATTAAGGATCAATTCACTCAATTTTTTGATTGGTAAAAAACTAGCAGCTCTGTTTAACTTCTTTAATTTTCCTTCCATTTTCCTTAAAATTTTCAACCACAATATAAATTATTTAAAATGGTATTTTTTTACACTGACAACTATTATGTTTAACGCAAACACTCAGTCACAACTTCTCAATACAAATCAACTACCCGAGACTTTATGGAAACTGGAGAGTTAATTCTCACATTTTATACTTCTTTAATTCATTCTCTATCTTTTTTTAGATAATACATTTTTTCCTTTTCTAATTATTATATATATATATTTATTCCAAGGGAATGATTCAGACATTAAAAACATATGTTCATTCATCTCTACGTTTATACATAATATAATATAATATGCTGACATGTCTCATATTACACTCCAGATGATTCCTCTCTGAATTGTATGAAACTATTTTTATCATCCATGCAAAAAAACCACTCATAACATTAACAGGTGATGTTTTCTTATTCTGATAATAATAACTGTATAATTATTATTCTATTAAATAATTAAACAATTTATTTAAATATTAAGAAAACCAAATTTAGTTGAAAAATATTTTCTACTTAACGTATAATCGGACATAACAATACAATGTAGTAATAAGAAATTTTTCCTCACTCTTTTATAGTCATACATTTTTCTGATGTGAAAATAAATTAAAATTCATGCAAAAATTACATCTTGAGAGTTAATAATACTAATAATAATAATAATTGTAATAATTAATCATAATAATTGTAATAATTAATAATAATAATTGTAATAATTAATAATAATTATTAATAAATAATAATTGATAATAATAATAAGTATTATATGTCTTCTAATTTTATTGTGCTGACATATCTCATATTACACTACAGATGATTCCTCTCTGAAATGTATGTAACTATTTTTATCATCCAAGCAAAAAATCACTCATAACATTAACAGGTGATGTTTTCTTATTCTGATAATATCTGTATAATTATTATTCTATTAAATAATTAAACAATTTATTTAAATATTAAGAAAACCAAATTTATTTGAAAAATATTTTATACTTACCGTATGATCAGGAGATATAGTGAAACTCTGTATGTCAACTTGTACTTCATAAATATACTTATTCGTTTCTCAATTTTGAAAAAAATTTACAAATTTTGAGAGACAAGTTTTTGGGGAATTTTCAGGAAAAATTTTTTTTCTTTGTATCTCTTTAGAAGTTTCTCGATTAGAATGGATTAGAACCATTTTTTATTTCAAATGTCGGTAAATGTCGGTGCAGGAATCTGTATCTAGAACCGGCACTGTATATCTACTAAATCGCTTTCCTTTCAAGGAGCTTAGCTCAAATTGCGCGATTTTAAAAAAAATTAACAACCTTAAACAGCCTTAATTTCGAAAGGTTGAAATTTCAGAGGTCCCTCTCCTAAAATTTTCTAGATAAATCCTCTATTGTAATATAAAGTTTACCTGATAATTATTTTTTTGTCACAAGTTTTAGGTCAGGAATATTTTGCATTTTTATAAAGTTTTTAACACTCCATTTGTGTTAAAATTATTATTATTATTATTATTTATACTTTTCTTAAATTTTACTAATATCAACGTTTCGATATTGTCAATAACAACGATAAGATAAATCAAAAACAAATGCAAAATTATATTACTAATGTCTGATGTTTTGTCAAAAAATAATTTTAAATTTATTTAATTATAATCAACAAAGATGATTGGGATATTTGAAGTTACATTGGAAAAACAATTTATTTAACTTTAAAGAAATGATTTTATCTTAAGCGGATTTTTCTTTTAATATTTATTTGAAAGTATTTCCTCTTAGGATAAAAGGATAGTCTTTTAAAGTTTATTCTTTACTTATTAAAAGAATTTAGTTCACTTTTAAAAAAAATTGTTTAATAGATTTAATTAATAATACCTATTAATAATAATAGATTATTATTTTTATAATTATTTATTATTATTAATAATTAAGATTCGCGGTAGAGAATCGACGCCAAGTAAAAAAAAAATTTTCCGCGAATATATTTTCTCAAAATATTGGCATTTTTGACCAAAATTGGATATCTCGAAAAGTTCTGTACCGATTTCGTTCAAACCTTTTTTTCCGGGTAAAAAATGTAAATAAAAATAATTTCTGCTGTGAAAATGGGAGGATTCCCAAAGAATTATGAAAATTATGCCTAAAAACTGAAAAATTTATTATTTTTAGCCACACCTGGAGCCTATACATTTTAACAGATTCGCATGATATATAATTAAGTTATAATCTCGATATACATTTCAGGAAATTTCAATACACTCAAAAATTTTTTAAATTTTCAATTTTTTATGAAAAAAATATTTTTTGCTTGATTTTTTGGTAGACGTGGAGCTCATAATTAATGAAACTTACCAATAATATCAATTATTTATATCTCGATATATAACTAATGACATCTGAATATACTCAAAAATTTGAAATTTTCATTTTTTTACGGTAAAATATTGATTTTTTCGATAATAAGACACACCTGAAGCTCATAATTTTTTACCGCTTCTCATGAAACTTACCATTAATATTAATTAGGTTAAAATCTCAATATATAAATGTAGATATTTAAAAACATTCAAAAAATTTTGAAATTTTTTATTTTATACGGTAATTTTTTTTTGTAACTTTTGATAGTAAATTTTTATTCTCTTTGATAATATCATGTTCGTTTAAAATGTCTTTTTTAATTTTTTTATTTTCTTTACTAACTTATTTAAATGTTATTATACGTTGGACTGTTGTACGGTAATATTGCATGCTTATTTCTCGGATAAACTCAGTTACCTGAATAGGTGACGTCTTCGTTGTCTTCAAACATTCTTGTAAATGACGATTTTGTGCAAAGTTGTCAGTATCGTCTTGTACTTGCCTTAAGAACTACACCTCTTTGGAACATCTAATTCCAGTATCAAGTTCTTTGCCTTTTGATTTTCTTACTGTTTTTGAGCATTAAAAATGAGAAGTTTCCATTTTAGACAAAAGAGTACTTAGTGTATGTTTTTTCAATTAAGGAAGAATGTGCTAGGACTAAATATACTTTTATTTTTTAAATACAATAATATATAACTTGTATGCAACCTTTTAATCTAAAAATTATAATATTTTGTTACAAAATTTAACAAAGAAAAACTAACAAAAAAGACTGATGCGAAACGTCGAGTCGTTAAAAATTCCAAATATTCTTTATATGTGAATAATAAAAAAGTAAGCACTTTTAATAACCGTATGTATTGCATTTTTGATAATTGTTCATAACATTTTTTGTATTTATCGTGGGATTTTAAAGTTTGAGTTTTGTTGAAATTATTTTAACAACTATGGCTTCGAATGATTCATTGGGTGAGATATTGGTTGAGAGCCAAAGAATTATCGTTGATGGCTTGCCATATAATAGACAAAGATCAACGTTTAACAATTGTCAAATACTATCAAATAGTGATACAGCAATACCTTCAACTTCAAATGTCGATCTACTTAATAGCAATAATAATAATCTTGTATCTACTAATCCATCGTATTTTTCGTATTCAAATGAAAATGCACAGTTTGCAGCAAATAGTTTTCCTACGTTTTCGTATCGATCCAACACAGACTTTTCCAGTTCGGCTTTGCTTAATAATAGCACTGATAATAGATTTGCTTTCAATCCGTAAACTTCTACGCATTTAATTATCAACAATTTGACTACGAAAGTTTTATCAGAATCCACTGTTCCAGTTTTATCTCTCTCTGGTATTGACAGAATTGTTTCCAGAGTAGGAAAAGCTACTGGTATATACGCTGAGTCAATGGAAGGCAATATGCTAATTAGGTCCTCAATGACTCAATGATAACTTCAAATTAATAGGAAAAAATCTTAAATATGAAGTCGATATTGAGGTATAAAATTAAATTTAAAACAATAATTTATTTCAAGAAATTGAAACAAATGACTTTCTTCACAGAATCACTACAGTTAATTTTAAAATAAAAAACTTATAATAATTTATTTCGTAACCAATATTCTTATAGTCAAAACGTTCTGTTTTTAATTGAACTTGTACATAATTAAGTGATTTGAAGATTTTAGTAAACCTTCCTACTCTATAACCAAAGTGAAGAGCAACTTTAGTTACGTGCTGCTTATTTAATCCATCCATATAAATATTTAATAATAATTTAATAAAAATTTCAAATGTACAGCTGATTGAATACTTGAAAAATAACGCCATTACTATTTTAAGTCATTTTAAAGAGAATGGTGACTTGGAGTACGGTAAAAGAAAATTGAAAATTAACGCATGAAGCAAGAAGGAAAAATTTAATAGAAAACGAAACAGAGATTTACAATTATTTCAAAAAATATAGATGTCTTGGTTTAAATGCTGGTCCAGATTGGGTAAATGTGTTTGTTTCTTATATCTTATTAACACATTTTTTGGTAACATAGGTTTTATTAATAGATACTAATACTTACTTTCTTTATAAACAGATAAACATTGATTTCAACTGTATTTTTCCAAATAAGGGAAATAATTTGTTCCACATTTGGAAAGATATTCGCCAGGAAATTGCACTTTTGCTAAGAAGCAAATTGAAAAGTAATGAAGACAAAGAGTCAATTTACAATATTGAAGAATTGTCAGAAGGTACATTTTCTAAAATACAAAATAAATAAGTTAATTCCGTATGCTTATAATATTGTTTTTTTTTATCAGAATTTTGTTTCAATACAGAGCAACAAGATGCAGTGGTTCTTTATTTACTGCCAAAGCTTATAAGACCATCATTTTTGAAATACGGAGAAGAGCCAAGGGCTAAAAAATAAAAAAAATCAGACAATAACAGCAATTTATCTGAAAATACTTTAAAATCTACGTGCAAAGAAATACAAGAATCGTTCATTTTGCTTGTCCCGGTAAGATTTCATAACAATAATAAAATTGATTTTACATCTCTTGCAGCAAATAATTCACAGAAAACTAAAAGGTATTAAAATAAGCTGCAACACTTCTTATTTTAATCAAATGTTTCTTATTTTAATCCATTTTGGTATTAAAATAAGTAAAAATGGATTAAAATAAGAAGCGTTGCAGCTTATTTTAATACCTTTCAATTTTCTGTGTTAATGAATATAATGAATTTATATGTTAATTATTACTCTATTTTGAAGTTAAGTTTAACTACACTCAAATTTTAATATCAAAATAAATAAATTTTAACAATGAAGGTGATTAAGAAACATAATTTTTTTACAGACTGCATCTGAAGAGCAAAATAAATTAAAAGAAAGAAGAAAAATTCTTAGTGCTACAAAGACACCACTGCAACCGCTTTTGGTTTTCGTAGGGAAAATTAGAAATCTTGAAGCAGTTTACGTTTTTGTAGACGACATTCGATTTCAATTAGAATCACCACTTGAGGCATTGGATATTGCTTTTAAATTATTTTACGCTGTTGATATTCAATATCCAAAAGCAGCGTTTTCTGTTTGGATGATTATCCGTCCAATATCTAGGATATGACCACAGACCGCTTTGGAACTCAATTGCGATCATTAATTAATACAATCACGAAAGGTATTTTAAATAAACAACCTAAACATTAATTTACGTGTTATTTTTTATTATTTATTTCTAATATTTTTTAATCTTTGATTGTTTTTTATTATTGCGCCTCATGAAAATATGTATTCTTGTTTCTATTGTCACGACAATTTCAATGATAATAAATCATTATTAGAGCACTTAAAATATGTTCATGTTAATCTATCTGAATATCGATGTCAAGATGATGGTTGTAATCGGAATTATTCATCGTACAACTCTTTTCTAAAACATCGCTATTCAAAGCATAATAATAAGACGAATAAAAATATCGTTCATAAAAGATCATTTCCGAAATGTGGTGATCATAATAATGATAAAATAGAAATAGAAGTAAATACAATCGACAATATTGATGTTAGCCCTACCGGAAGGGTGGTACTGGATTGGTACTGGGAAATTGGAACTGAGATCTCAGTACCAACTCAGTACAACTTTGGTGCATTTTGGTACTGAAATGGAACTGGGAAATTTACCTGCGAAAAGGGTCGAGTTACCGTTAATACCCTCATAAAAGTGAAAAGCGACTAGCTTTTTCAATATGTTTAAACAAAAACTTTATGTTTATTTCAATATTATATTTGTTTTTCATGGATTTATATTATTTTCATACATTATTATGCATATGATATTTCTTTTGTCAGCTGAATTCAAAAATGATGTCCATTTTTTTATCAAACTTAAGGTATACGAGATAAATTATAACTTTTTTAAATGTAATTATTTTATGATAAATTTTAGATATTCATAATCTAGAAATATTAACGAATCTCAATATATATTTTTTAAAGTTGAGTTGTTAAAATTACAAATTTTTTAAGCAATAAAACTCGGGTTAAAAATGTAATCCTTCAACAAAGGACCTGGGAGTCTATTGTTCAAGGAGGGATTGCAATATAATTTCCAAACTTAACTGAAATTTTCTACAAACTATTATGTTTTTTTTTGCTGTTTTACACGGATATCGTGAGAGACGTTTTGCTGTTCTAACATACCTTTAAAACCATTGTTAAAGTACTTTAAAAAGGTCTTCTTATGGGTTATCAGGTAGTGGTACTGAAGTGGAACTCAATCCAAGTCCAATTCAGTACCATTCCAGTACCTCTCTTTCGGTAGGGAGGTTCGAAAATAACTTTAATGATGCAAACAACGAATTTTTGATGCCTTTAATTCTGATGACTCTGATGAATCTGATAATCATAGTGATGAATGTTTTGATTCAGCAGAGATTAGTACGTTTAATACTTCCACTCGGAAATATAATGAAGAAGATGGAACTGTTCTTGATGTATTATCTAATTGTTTAAAATAGATGCTTCAATGTTAATTTCCGAATTGTATAATTATGGAGAAATCCCAAGGAAAAGAGTATTAGATATATTAAATCATTACTCAACGTTTTTGCATGGCAAAGCATTTAGTTTATTTGAAGTTTACGTCTTGAATCGATTAAAAGTATTGGGAGAAAATTCAGAATCACTAGTTAAAACAAAGTCAATGTTTGATAAATTTAAAAATCCTTTTCATGGTTTAAATTCAGAGTATTTAATTTTTCAACATTTTAAAACGCATGGGACTTACATTCCTCCCACTCATGAAAAATTAAGCGAAAGAGATGAATTTCAAGAAAAAAATGATGTTCAAATTTTGAGAAAAATTCCTGTATTTGCTTCTTTTATACTAATTTTTTTGGTTTTGACCAAATTTTTCGAACTGCCTACAGTTTTTGATAGAACCATGGCTTATGTAAATGAACTTTACGAAAATACTAAAATTATATCTAATTTCATACAAGCAGAATTTTGGACAAAATTAAGAGTAGGTTTTGGTGACAAAATAGTTTTGCCATTAATTTTATATTTTGTCGATTACGAAACGATCAACTTTCTTGGAAGTCATGCCGGTGTATCAAAATGTGGAGCTGTGTATGTTTCAATTCCTTGTTTGCCTCCTGAATTTCAATCAAAATTAGAAAACATATTTTTCTTTATGTTGTTTAATACAATAGATCGTAAAGTTTTCCAAAATAAAGTTGTCTTTCAAAAAATCATTGATGAACTTCATATTCTTGAAACTATAGGTGTTAGTTTTGAACATTTATCACGAAAATTAACCGTATTTTTTTCACTAGTTTTGATATTAGGAGATAACTTTGGAGTTTATTCCATTTTTGGATTTTCCGAATGTTTTCAAGCCAATTTCCCTTGTAGATTTTGCCTAATTCACAAAAATGACATTAATTCTGCCAATATATCAATCATCAATCCGTTTTGAAAGCAAATATCAAAATGGAAAAGTAACAACACATGCATCAAAAATTCGAGTAAATGTTTGTCACACTATCGCAGTTAGACACCAACTGAAACTAAATCGTCGTTTTGTTTTTAATGCATCAACATATTCAAAGTTTATTTGTGGCCCTTATAAACCGTCTCGTGTAACTTCACTTCTTTATTATCGAGATTTTTTTTCGTGTTTGACATCTACTTTTAATAATGTTGTGCGTATTATCAAGTGGATTAAATGCTTTGACAAATATGTGAAACCAAGCGCTATAATTATGATTTCTAGCGAAGAGGGACCAACGTTTTACATTGTCCGTTACTGCATATTAGATCAAAGAAAATTACGTTTTGTTACGGAAATGTGTAATAATGTTTGGTATGATGAACATTTTCAAGCGTATGAAGTAGTAAATGATTGTATAAAAACATGGACATGTTTAACTCCAAAAAGATTAAATGAAGGTATTGTTACTTTTATGGTTCGAGGATGTGATGGATCAAATTATATTGCAAAAAGATGGGTATGAATATTGTTAACTTTATATGTGGTGTGCATGGAATTCGTTTTCAAAATATTTTTGAAATATAGAGAATTTATAAAAATTGTATGTCTTAGGGTCATTTGGGGAAAATGTAAACAAGGGGTAAATGTAAACAGCAGATATTGCAGCTTAATTTACAGATTTAAAATTAAGTTCGACCCCAATATTTTAACCTCAGCTTACCTGCAACAGGTTCTGAGTATTGCCAATTTTTTTTTCGACAATTGTCAAAGCCATACTCCAATTTGTCGCTTAATGCATGAAAGATTGAAAATTAAAGATTTACTGTTTCAGTATTTTGTCTCGCATTTGAATAAAAATGAACTAAAAATTCAAACTAAAATTTCTAATTATTCCTTATGAATCCCTTAACAAAAGCTGACTTTGATTTTTTAATTTCGTCAATTCAGTTAATAGATAATTAAGTGTTTACATTTACCCCGAGAATTTGAAAACTCGGGGTAAATGTAAACAGAATTTCTGCTGCATTTTAAAAGAAAATAATTGAATAAATTTGCTTCTATTTCACAATTACATTATTTTGGCCCTGTAAAATTACATAAAAAACGAAATTGGATCTTCTTTTATAACTCCTTCGTGTTAGTCAGTTGCAGGTATAGACCTGCATAGTATTGCATAGTGCATTTACGTGTTTAAAATATAGGAAAGCGATTCTTCACGATTGGTGAATAAAACTCAGGTACGTAGGAATCCTAGAATAAGAGTGAGTGATTGATTGGTTGATTGATTGATTGATTGATAGATTGATTGATGGATTGATTGATGGATTGATTGGTTGATTGATTGGACGATTGATTTATGGATTGGTTGATTGAGTAATTGGTGGATTGATTGGTGGATTGGATTGATTGGTTGATTGGATAATTGATTTATAGATTGGTTGATTGAGTGGTTGATTGGTGGATTGCTTGATTGATTGACTGATTGATTGGTGGATTAATTGGATGATTGGTTGATTGAGTGATTGATTGGTGGATAGATTGGTTGCTTAGATGATTGATTTATAGATCGCTATTTTGAAAATTTTAAATTTGTCTTCAAATTCGTATTCAGTGACCTCAAAAACCCCCGAGTAGCGAGATTCAAGCAAATTTGATCAATTTTTAACAATATTTTTATGTTTGTCCGCCATTTTGGATCCGCCATTTTGAAATTTAAAAATTCGATTATAGAATCTTAAAAACAACCTTAAATTCAACCTTAAAAACTTATTTTCACCAAGTTGAATGAAAATCTATTAAAATTTATTGAAGTTTTTCAAGTTTTTACATTACTAGTTTTGTTATGGTAATGATTGCTTATTTTATATGTTATCAATCAATTGGTTCAATTATTTTACATCTACCAAGAATTTTTTTTCA